CTCATCATGAATTTCCTTCCATATACCAGTTGTGGTGCTATACTCCCTTTTTTCTCAAGGGTTTCTTTCCAGACTGGTTTTCCCCTGTGTTCTCTTTCTGATTTGCTATTGTGTGTCCTCCTCTGAAGGTATAAAAACCCTCAGCAGGATTGAAGTAGACACTCAATCTGCTTTTATACCATCAAAGGAGTTTCTTTTGCAGCCCTAAGCTTGAATTATGGGATGACTAAAATCTTTCAAAAGTTCAATCAAATGATGAAAATATGCAGAAGTCCTGAGACTCCTAACTGAAATTATGGTTTATTGTGTGAGGTATTGCAAACTTCCCAGTACGCACTTTGCACAGCCCACCAATTCTCAGCAACAGATCCATTCAAAACATCTTGCAATGCTTGCAAATAAGCTCCAGTATGAATTGCACAGCTCAAAGCATTTTCAGCATTGCTTGGGTGCCCTTGCTGACTGCTGGAAATGACATGATGGGTTTCTAGCAGTCCTTTCTGCATCCATGGTATCAGCTTCTTCAGCAAATTACCTGCATAACACAATGAATATACTGTACATTCAAACCACAGTCCCCCACACAATGGACATAAATTGTGCAAACAAACTAGTCTGTTATGTGAAATGTCTGTTATGTGAATTGTCTGTTATGTGAAATGTCTGTTATGTTAAATGTCTGTTATGTGAAATGTCTGTTATGCAAATTCAATTATTGAAAAATTGAAATTTTTAATTTTTACCATTTGTTTTTTACCAACAGAAGTCCATTAGGTGAATTTTGTCCATTATAGGTAATATAGGCAAAAATCTTTCAGGTGGTAGGTCTGTTAGGTGGGGGTTGACTGTAATCTGCAGTGAATATTGTCCTGTGTTTGAAAAGGTTTACCACAATTTAGATCAGTGTACCCCAACCTTTCTTGGCCCATGGACCTGCAAATTTCCATAAAATTGTTTGCAGAACTGCAAAATTCCATGAACTATTGGTTACAGACTGGTCAAAGCTCCAAACTTTCTTTGCAGTCTGGCAAAGATTGTAAAATGTTAAAAAACCAGCAGACATTTTCAAATACTGTACAATATAACTGTCATTCAGTCCTCCAAACAAACCTTCATTGCAAAAATTAAGTTAAGAACCAACGAATCAGCTAAATATATTGCAGTGAAATGTCTTCAAAAATTCAAATAGCTGGGCTTCTACTGTATATATAGAAAAGTTTCTCAGAATAAATAATTAAGCACAATACTGTAATATTGTTTCTATAGCCAGTGAAAATTTGCTGTCTGACATGTTATTAAGAAAAAAGCCAATTTTTATTTTTCCTCAGATAATTTCAACTGCCATTTTTCTTTTCAGAATTTCAGATAAAGATTACAGACTATTTATTACTATTTTACCACGTTTTTATGAACTCACTTTCTTGTCTGTCTGTCTGTTTGTCAATGACTGATGACAATGCAATCTTATGTGAAAAAATAAATTTTAAGAATATTTTTTTAAAAGAATAAAATAATTATAGTAGATTTCTATAATAAAACTTTGAGCAGGTTTTCCTTGGCCCCAAGAAAAAAACCCATGGTGAACTGAATTGGTTGCAGAGGTCCGAGTTCAATCCCACCCCCTGGAACATTTTTTTTCTAATTAATTAACATGTTTTTATTAACTCACTTTCTTGTCTGTTTGTTTGTCC